CAAATAAAAGCCTTGCACGTCTGTTAGGAATGTAAAAATGATTTTGGTAGGTAGACGGGTCGTAGAGTCATTCTGAAGGAAATACATTGACACACATTTTGTTTTGGGCAGAAATGTGTGTCCCCTGCTGCAGAAAAGGACACTTTGCTCTCTATATACCCTGTTTCCCCGAAAATAAGACCTACCCCGAAAATAAGACCTAGTACTATTTTTGGGAATGGCTAAAATATAAGACCTACCCCGAAAACAAGACCTAGTTGTGACCATTTCCAGGGCCGGTGGTGGCATAAGATGGAACTTGAAGAGACAATTCAGCGGTGCCAACTAAGCCAGCTATAGAGGAAGCGAGGCGGAATTGGAGGGAGCAGAGCCGCATAAGCAAATGCCAACTCCTGTCACAGGCGGAGTAATACCAAATGCACTCGGCCTGTGAGGAATCGATAGTGAAAGTGCGCTTCGCTCATTCTGGCCAGCGATTGGTTAGCAAATTGCTCTTGGAAAGGTACGGCACCACTGATCACCATATTTGTGTACATGAATACATGTAGACTGTTGTACATAAATAAGTGTCGATTGTTGTACATAAAAAATTAAAATAAGGACCTACCCGAAAATAAGACCTAGTGTGTTTTTTTGAGGTCAAAAAAATATAAGACAGTGTCTTATTTTCGGGGAAACACGTTAGAAGCAACGGCCTCTCTGCAGAGATTAAACATGCAAAGAAAAGCCTGTGCCCTGCCAGCAAGTACCCTTGCTCTCTGTGTGGAAGCAGTGGTCTCTTTGCAGAGGTCTGACACACCCCCTCCAGGCTGGGTTAGAGCTCTCCAATCATCAGGGAGTGTGAGTTTCACTCTTTGTAGGACTATAGGTCTGACTCGGCAGGGAGCCTGTCCAATCTCTGCAGAGAGACCACTAGGAGTGCAGGGGGACGTATTGGACTTTAATTATGACATTATGTGACATCCTTCACTGAATAAATATATCAATGTAATATTAATATTGGCATTTCGAAGTGTGTGTGTGCCGGTGAAATACTTGAATTTACTGCTAGTGTTTGCACGGCGCCACCCGTGCACCACAGATACATTTTGAGCTATAAGACCGTAAAAAAAAAAGAGACTGTAAACATCGAACAATCACGGCAGAAAAATAGAATGTTCCCCTAGAGAAGCTGATACCCCGAGATTATATATTCCTGGGGCCGGTTCCTGGCAGTCCCCCTATGGCGCATTTCCCGAAGTAGCTCCATGACAGGTTCTCTTTCCACGAATGTATTTGTTGGAAACAGTAACATTGTATCCTCCGTCAGTCCTCGGAAGGATTAGCTCAAACTTTGATTGGGTTCTGCCGTTTGTTCCCGGGGATTATGCAGGATTCTTACTGATCTGATGTGACTGACAGAGATTTACTCTCCGTGGAGGGGCGCCAGGAACGAGAGAGCCAATCGAATGGTGGCACCGGGCGCCGAATGTTAATTCTTGGAGAACGCAAATCCGCCTTGTTCCTTCCGATGAGACCGGACAAATTGATGGAACATTTTCAAGATACATTCTGTCGTTTTCTATTATTTCTACAATATCGGATGAGCCGTTTAACTATGAATTAGGAGACCGGCTCTGATTTGTATGTCCGCTGCCGTTACTGAAAATGCTAGTTGCCTGTTTGTCATGCTCATCCTTTGATTTTCAATTTAGAAAGCCTTTTACCCCAGTTCTGATCTTTGCCTACACAGTCCTGATCAGTGATGCATTAAAGCTGAACTCCGGGATAAACAAATATTGTCCTCATACAAGACTCATGTGTTTTCATGCAATTCTTCTTGAATCTCGGTGAGCTTTGTGTATTTCTTCCAGATCTGCGCAGTAATCCAGTGTGACCTGTAACAAAGACCGGTCACTGCTGCTCTCTCTCCTTGTACAGGGTGACTGGTCTTAGTCTCCGCCCCCTCCTATAATAAAGACCGCTCACTGCTGTTCTCTCTCCTTGTGAAGGGTGACTGGTCTTGCCTCTGCCCCCTCCTGTAATAAAGACCGCTCACTGCTGCTCTCTCTTCTTCTGTAGGGTGACTGGTGTCGTCTCCGCCCCCTCCTGTAATAAAGATCGGTCACTGCTGCTCTCTTTCTTGTGCAGGGTGGCTGATCTGGTCTCCACCCCCCTCCTGTATTAAAGACCGGTCACTGCTGTTCTCTCTCCTTGTGCAGGGTGACTGGTCTTGTCTCCGCCCCCTCCTGTAATAAAGACCGGTCACTGCTGCTCTCTCTCCTTATGCGGGGTGACTGGTCTAGGCTCCACCTGCCTCCTGCAGTTTTCTGTTGGGTCTAATCTCTGTGTAGACTATGTTATTTTTTACAGAAATTATATGGGTTTGCACAGGCATTTAGCGCACACAGAATAAATGTAAATCTTTTGTGAAATCCATCTGGTGAGAAATGTATTTCGGTTAAGTTTTTGTGCCTGGGGTTCAGCTTTAAAGTTTATTCAAAGTCAAAACTGTTTTCTTTACGTTGTGGATAATGTAGGTGACAGTAAAAGGAGAACTATGGGGTTAAGGCTTTTCCCCATAGTTCTCCTTAGGGTAACGGGATGACACAAACTAGCGTCCTCCCGTCACCCTAGGCTCAGTATATAGGGAGCTACAGCTCGCGGTATACTGAGACTCCGCAGCTGAAGCGGATCCCAACAATTGTGCCGGGATCCGCCCAGCTGCGTGACTGACAGCTGGCTCTGCCTATCTAGAAGTAGAGCCAGCTGTACCCTCCCCCTCCTCCGTTCAGCCGGTCAGCGCTGGAGGATCGGAGCGGGGAGGGGGGAATCCAGCCACTCCCCTGTCACGGCAGAGAGCCGTGACCGGATCGAGAGGTGAGCGAACGCCGGTATGTGTTCGCTCACCTCCCGATCTACTGAGCCGACCTGTGACAGTCTCATTGTCACAGGTCGGCTAGAACTATGAGGTGAGTGAAAAGCACCCCCCTCCCCCCCTCATAGTTCTCCTCTAAATCTCCTGCCAATGAATTGTCTCAAAATTGTCATTAATCTCAAATGTGTAACTCTTAATACGTATTCCGTAACTCCTATTGTAATGAAGTTACCTTCCTAAAAAGTGGATACACTAGTGTATGAGAAGATACCACCAATATGACACAATAAACCTCCATAGAGAAATGTACAAACCTTTGGATAGAGTAAGGGAGGGTTATGACGCCTGTCATCGGGGAGATTTCTCTTCATTTCCTGTCTTGCTTTTCCATCCATTGCAGGCAGATCCTTGCGGGTGGGAGGAGCCGGCAGGGTGCTGTACATAGCTTCCTGAAACCATCACAGCACCTTTGTACTTCTCAGCCCTGATACAAGCAGTGGGCGGGCTCTCAGGATGAGTTATGCAGATATCAAAATGCCTTGATGGGTGGTGGGACAGTCTGGAGGAGTGGGCAATCCTAGACAGGAATCAATGAATAAAAGGGATGAGCCAGGAAAAGTCAGGCTCGGAACGGAAGACAGATGATGCTGGATGTCCTCCAGCCAGGAAATGAGACGGGCTCTATCTGACTTAGTATGTGCAATCAGTATACTTGCCTTACTTTAGTCTACTCCCCCCATGGCCCTAGGCAAGGGTGACATCACACCTTGCCTAAGTCCATTGCTAGTGTGACCGGAGGGTCTTCTCATGACATTTTTCCTGCTCTGTATTCCACTGACCTTCGGGAAGGATGATGACGTCATGCTCAGCCAGGGGTGACCCAGAACTATTTGCCACCTGAGGCGAGGGGTGCTCCCGGGGGAACGTTACCTGCATTGGCAGCATCCGGCTTCTCACCCTGCTCACTGACATCACTGGTTGCCACAAGCTGGGTGGGATGCCGGCCACAGCCTCACAGGTTGCAAAGAGATCTGACCCAATGAGCCTCAGGCTGCTTTATTATAGGGATTCATTTATGTTGGGGGGGGCGCTGCACGTCCTCCAGCCAGGAAATGAGGCCGGCTCTGTCTGACTTGCTGCAGCTTCTAATGCACATTGTGAGAAGCTCCCAGTGTGCAGTGATATCAAAGTAAGCCATTTGAGTCCAGGAGAGGAGCCGGTACAACTGAAGGGAAGGCCGTAGTTCAGATTTAAATATATCACCAAAGTTGATTTAAAAAAAAAAAAGTAGTGACCTAGAGGTCAGGGGGGAAGAACCACAAAGTGCAGCAGAGAAGCAGGAGGTCAATACTCTCAGACTATTGTGCATCAAATGGCTATAAGAGATACGAACAACCAAAGTTCAGCAAATATTACATTTTTGGTTGTCTATAGAATAATACTCGGGATAATGGTGACACTTAGTGCACAGGAGACCGGGGGCATGCCATCC